AGCTGTTCGCTTTTGTATGTTCAGGTTGGCAAAAACTGGTCATTCAGAACAATTACCTGTCCCAGTTGCCTGAGGATTTGGACAGTCCTCAGCAGCTGGAGCTGGTCCTTGTGGATGGGCACCCTATGACAGACCCTCTGACGGAAGTGTGCTGTCAGGGGGCATCTGCCATCTGGGAATACTTATGGGAAAAAAAGGTAGGGGTGTTAAGAAAGCCACCACAATGTGCATACAAAGCTGTGGTTTTTAGTAATAGATACTTTGCAGAACAACCTACAGGACACTCTGTGCAACATCAAAACCACCTTAAACCACCGTTTGCATCAGGTATGGCAGAGCAGCACTTCTATCACTGATCATGTTAAGGCAGGATATAGGGAACCATCAGGAAATAACAGCAGATCATTCAGAAACATTCCAGAAAGTTGTCCCTGCCCTGCCAGGTCACAGTCAGCAGGCACAGAACAGCTCTTACAACTTGCAATGGAGCTTTCCTTAATTCTTTGTCCAGTGGAAGGGGAACGGTGAGCGTGTCTAAAAACAGGGCAGATTCTCTAAGTCAAGGCATTGCTTAAAGATGAAACTAACTGCAGGTGGCATCTTCACTCTTGCTGACTGTATTTTGACTGCAGAGAGCTGAAGATTCATTGTGCAAACACATTGAACAAACACATTTTTTCAGTGGTGTTTTTGGTTGTTGTTTTGTGTTATTTTTTCCCCAAAAGAACATCAGTATGTATCACCAGTGGGCCATGGAACTAATTTGCTCAGAAAAATTACAGGGCAAGTAGGAAGGAAAGGCAAATCCTCAGTCTTTGATTCTTCGGAACCGAAATTATTCCTCTCTTTCTGTAATGTCTGTAATTTCTTCATGTACTACTGTGTTTATTGCAAACTGTTTTTCTGAACTAAAAGGTGACACTTAGAGATGTGTAGACATAGTAATTCGCTACTCTCATCAAAGGGTCTGGAGGACTACAGTGTTAGTGTCCTCCCTGGCAAGGAATTCTCCTGAAAAAAATAACACACAGGGGAAAAGTTGGGTGGCTGGCAGTCTATCTTAGCTGCAAACAGTCTAATACAGGATAAAAGGGAATTTTGGAGACAATAATATGTCTGGCTTTTTGTATCAAGAATATCCACTAGCAATGCTGTTCCACATGACGGTTTGCTTTTACCCTTCTCCTCCGGGTAAGCAGATTGTTCTCTCTTTTTCAGACACAAAGTTGTGGCATGGGTTAATGAACCAGAAGGGGATTGGACCTTTCTTGACACTTCAGCATCTAACAAAAAAAAAAAAATAAAAAAAGAAGGAAAAGAAAGGAAAAGGAAAGGGAAAAGAGAAGCCTGTAAAAGCATTGAAAGCCAAAAAGTGATAGGCAGTAAACTGCACACAGCTCTTTTCATTTACAAGAAGGGCAAATGTGAGCGGAGACAAGCGAATTGGAGACAAGCAGTATTAAAGGATCTGAACCAGTGAGTGTTACACGAAAGCAGATGATTTTTTGAGGTTTGTTTTGGTGTTTTTGTCAACATTGACTCCAGCTGGATCAGGTAGGTTCTGAAATATTCTGAGATGTCTCATTCTGAATGCATGTTATCTCTAAGCATAAAGGCAACTGATTAACTGGAAATTAATCTAATCTGTAGGATTCTGGTGCAATGAGATGTTCTTCGTTCTGAATCTGAAAGTATTTTACATGCAATTCTTAGAAATCTGTTTTCCAGTCAGTGAGGTACAGCCATATCTAGAGTGAAACAATATTTTTGGCCCCACCTACTAGCAGTTATTTAATGAGTTTTACACTCAGAAATTATCAATACCTTGCTTGAAAATATGGAGGAGGATTCCAGGCAGGCAGAACATATGCACTGCTACCAGAACCTGCCTTACCACCCTGTTTTACAGAGGTGCACGAAGCTGTTTTGAAAGTATCTCTACGCTTTTGCCAAACTGCTCAGTGATGTTTTGACAATCTGTAGCTATAGTATTTTGAATGACTGCAAGCTGTCAGGTCCTTCCTACTACAGCTCATCTCTGACACAGCTTGGTGACAGTTTGTAAAACATCTGTGTACGACAGGCTTATTTGAAAGCAGAGAGTCTGCAGAGCACCATATTCTGCAATGATTCTGGGTCCTGCATGTCATAAGACCTTTCTTATTCAAAAGAACCATGACAAACACTTCTTACTATAATTCTAGCACACCAAATTTATATGCAACCATGTCTTTCCACAGCACTTTCCAGATAGCTGTTTGTCCTAGACATTTGATGTCCTTGTCTAGTTTTTATCCTGTATTACTCAGTTACTCCCTAAACCCCTCCAGAGTTTGATTTGCAGCATACATAAAACACAGAGCTGGACCGGAACTGTGCAGATTCAAAACAGGTGGGAGAAGAACTCTTTATTTGATTTAATTTGCTGGTCAGAACTGCAGGCCTGCTCTCTCTCCCCTTGTCTGAGTTGCCTCAGAGAAGGTGGTGGCACCCTGAAGGAGGTGGTGAAGGCAGGGCTGCTGAGACCCAGCTCTTCCTAGAGCTCCACCTCCAGGTAGTGCTCTCTGAATGCTGCGGCTCCATCTGCGTCCAGAGTATGGATCTTATTTCTCTTTGGCTCTTAATCGATTGATACTGAGATCTCATTAACATGCTTGTTGGCAGGAGAGAGCTGGGAGTGCAGAAAAACGGGATGGCTCGGTTTTGGTTTTCCATTTTATTAGGTGACTGATGCTGGTTTTGATTGTTCAGAGGTGTCTTATGAAATTTTTTCACCCAAAATGAAGGCAAAGAGACACAGAGAGAAGGATGATTCAGAGACTACTGAGGAGGAAAGCACTAGAAGAGAGATATTTCTGGGAAGACTGGCAGATAGACAGGACGTTTCATAGAACTGATTTAACAAAAGCTTTGTATTGGCAGAACAGCTATGAGAGAATCATGAGAAGGCAAAGGACTGAGAAAGAGGTCATGAACAGCAAGTAAAAAGGTTCCTAGCAGTGAGTCCATACTGTGCTCTGGAGCTGAGAATGAGAAACTCAAGTATGACACAGCAAGAAACCTCCATACTGAAGTCCAGTTCAGTCAGTCAAATTACAATCGCCATGGGGCATTAAAATGCTTTGTTAAACACTTGATTAAACATGCTTTACTGAATTAGAAGAGACAGAGGTTCAAGGGGGAAAGGAGCGATTCAGAGAGATTCTTACAGAATAGACAAAGGATCAATTTCCCAGTTGGACCAAAGGCAGAGTCAAGGAGGAAAATCACAGGAAGACAAGTGATTAGGAGAAGAGGTTGGTGCTGCTGTTAAACAGAGATGATGATACTTCCACATACATAGAATAACTCTCCTGGCTTGAGTTACTGCTTGAAAGTCTCACTTGTTAGCCTTGTATGAAACAGGGGTTCTCTGCTTCATTTCAGAGGTTGAGGATCTCTGTAGAAAATAACTGAGCCCACACTGCATCAATTCCCTGCTACCTCTGACCAAGACGCTCCGGTTCATCGCACATTTCTCAGAGCTGGGAGAGCCAAGTGCACTATTCAAGTGGAACTGAAACTGGAACCAGGAAGTCCAAGGAGACCCTCCCATGAAATCATGGATTAAATGATCAAGAGGTACCAGCACAGCATGGTCTGCTGCTGGTTATAACCCTGACCAGCCACAAGTTGATGTTGGAAGGATCACTCAGACTGAAAGCTGAATATTGATCTGCACCTGCATGGGAGAACTTGCTGAGAGGGGTCCTAGCAAGTTCAGAAAGTGCCACTGAGTGATCCTGTTCTGCTTCTCCTCCAGGAGATTGCTGCAGCATGTAGATATACTCAGGGCTAATTGAGCAGTTCTTTATCCCTCAAGCTGCCTCAGGATTTCTCTAAGACTCCTCACTCAGTGGGCAGATCTAATATCTTTACTTCCTAAAATACCTTACCAATGAATAATCCCACTACAGTCTTTGAGCTCACGTGTGGGCTAACATGCTCCACAACATGAGTAACTATGCCAGAATTTGGCTTTATGTAAGCAAATACAATAAAATACCAAATAAGAAATTATCAAATACAAAAAGGAGGAACCACTTACATGTCCCAAGTTGGTGCTTTTTCTAACAAGTCTTGGGCACATAGCTCTGCTCTTAGCTAGAAGCTGCCCTGTGACTTTGAATAACAGACTTTGCTTATTTCCTTCATCTTTAGGGTAAGGATAAGAACACTGTCTACATCGCAAGGTGTTGTGAAGGTTAATGGATTAATCCCGAATGCAGGAAGCATGAAGGCACTGCAGGGACTCTCACTGACTTTCATATGCTCTAAATCAGACTCTTAGATCTTGAAGTTTGGTTTTGTGCTGCATGTCATAAAAGGGTTTGTACAGAAAGCACAGACTAGGTAAGGCTGAAACAGCTCCGGATGAGAAGGAGCATCCCTGAAGTATCCTGAAATCCTTGCATGGCCTTATGGATGCTTATGGATTGCACTGCATCTGAAATCCTTGCTAAGGTAGCAGGATGTATCTCTGATTTAACCTACCACAGCATTACCCTTGCCCCTGAGACCCACAAAGACACCAATCAACTGTTTCTTACCTTGATTTTATGTTGATTCTGTACACAGGACGCATCTACACTACCAAATAGCATCATCAGCCAAAGCAGAGGCAGAACAGCTCCTTCTGTACTCTCCTTACTGGACTAATATATAATCCTGAGTTGTAGGGATGCTTTCCAAATCTCACAATTACGTAGATTTAATGCATTCACAAAGAGGCAAACGTTTTGGGGCAGAAGAGACTAAAATTTAAAACAGAGGTTTCAAGCATTTCCATGTTAGAGGCATTTTCCTTGTATACACAAGGCCCCATTCACACTGCCCACCCACCTGCATTAGCACACATCCCAGCCACTTCCCTCCGTTGGCAAACCTGCAGTGTGTCCATCTGAAACCATCATTGCTCTTTTGACAGTGGTCATTGCTGTATTCAAAACATGAAGATTAAGGGTATACAGTAGTGTAAGCATGGCACAGAGAATCGGAAAGAATATGTTATGAAATGGAATGACCTATGCATGCTGAAGTTAAATAAGTGTCTTCTATAATTGTGGAACTATTCCAAGAGCTCTCATGAGACGAGAATACTGAAAACTGGGCAGCTTTCTAAGTCAGACTTGGTTCATGTGCTGCTGTGAGAGGCCTTCCTGAAACCTTCAACCTCCATCAACAGTCGAAACGAATGTTTCTTTTGTTGTCTTGATTAAAGCTTTCCAGTTGTTTTTGCTGCAATTCTGAAAGGCTCCATCTTTGCATCCCCAGCTCTGCCAAGGCAGGCAGCTTTGTCAGGGCTGCTAACAACTCGCTGAACCACGTCCCACAGTCACGGCAGGACGATGGGCGAAGACTGACATCCAGCTCCAAGAGTTCTTTGAATCCTGCTAAGCCTTGACACAAAACGACCCACCCTTCATCAGAGATGGTGTTGTTATAACTCAAATCCAGCTTCTGTAATCTGGCTAGATGGCCATCCTGCGTCAGTGATGCTGCAACAAATGACAGACACAAACAAAACTAATACATCCTGGCGATTGCTTTAAAAGCTTGTTAAATAATACCGTATTATTTAAGGCCTTTCAGCAGTCAAGCAGCAAGATTCAACTCCTCAGCAACACAAAATGACTTGCTGCTGATCTCAGAAAGATCGATTTACCATAGCTGAAGGAGCGTACGACATTTTAAACACAGGCAATTGAAAAGGAACGGAAGTATCAGGTTAAAATTGCATGGCAACCTGAAAACGTTTGAGTCAGTTGGAAGGAGGTTATATCAAGTGTCAATTAAAATTGGCAGACAGGCTTTACAAGGAGATTTAGAAAGTGGAAAGCAAAACTAGATGAGGTTGTGTGATTACAACAGCCACCTCTCACTGTGGGAGGGTAATGGGCCTAATATACCCTAAAGGGAACTGGAATCCTTAATGTATGGTTGGCAAAGGAGACACCTGTCAAGGGTGATGTTTGTAAAGTCAAAAATATTCAGGCTTCATCTCACCAGCCTTCAGATTACAGGGCCTTAATAGCTGTCCTACAGCTATTGCCAATCTCAGACACTCAAAGCCCATGAGTCAGGCCCACAGAATCACAAGGATGATTATAAAATAAACACATTCTTAAAAGGATCCTAGAATTTATTCCTTCATTGGGTTCCCACTTTCCAGTACTTCTCAGCAGCTGCTAAGAGGTGGGCTAAAATATTTCTGGTTTAATTCTCCCATAATAGTTTGACTCCAGAAACACACCTAATGGACTGAGAGCTGGTAACGCCTGTATTACTGGCTGTCAGCACGTACATTTCCCATAAATTACTGAACCCAGGACCAGCA